TGTCTGTCTTTTATAGAAAAAAATTGACATCTTTTATTATCCCTCACTCTGTGGCCATGCCATGTGTTCATTGTTATGAGTGTCCTACATACTTTCTCTGTCTAAGACTCTCTTACAAACCATTTCCAGGCAATACGCCAATTCAAAAACTACATAAAACCGGAAGTATACGATTGATGTTATCAACACATTCAATTTATACCGTTGAGTTTTCAACAAAAACAAGATGTGTTTGTGAAACACTATGCGCCCGGCGTCAACAAAGTTGGAAAAAGCTATTTTTAGTATAAAGGTCACAGTCAAGGTCACATGGTCATTGACCTTGGTGTTGTTTGTAAGAACTTAATTAGTGGGATATATACTAAATATGAAGTCCCTACTATGGTTCAAAAGTTATGGCAAAAAGTGGAAAAAGCTATTTTTAGTATAAAGGTCACAGTCAAGGTCACATGGTCATTTACCTTGGTGTTGTTTGAAAGAACTTAATTAGTGGGGTATGCATACTAAATATGAAGTCCCTATTTCCTATGGTTCAAAAGTTATGGCAAAAAGTGGAAAAAGCTATTTTTAGTATAAAGGTCACAGTCAAGGTCACATGGTCATTTACCTTGGTGTTGTTTGAAAGAACTTTATTAGTGGAGTATGCATACTAAATATGAAGTCCCTATCTCTTATGGTTCAAAAGTTATGGCAAAAAGTGGAATAACCTATTTCTAGCATATAGGTCACAGTCAAGGTCACAAGGTCATTGACCTTGATGTCATTTGAAGGAACTTTATTAGTGGAGTATGCATACCAAATATGAAGTCTCTATCTCTTATGGTTCAAAGGTTATGACAAACAGTGGAATAACCTATTTTTAGCATATAGGTCACAGTCAAGGTCACAAGGTCATTGACCTTGGTATCATTCGAACGAGCTGAATTAATTATTGGAGTATGCATACCAAATATGAAGTCTCTATCTCTTATATTCAAAAGTTATAACAAACAGTTGAAAAACCTATTTTTAGCATATAGGTCACATTCAAGGTCACAAGGTCATTGACCTTGATGTCATTTGAAAGAACTTTATTAGAGGAGTATGCATACTAATTATGAAGTCTCTATCTCTTATGCTTCAAAAGTTATGACAAACAGTTGAAAAACCTATTTTTAGCATATAGGTCACATTCAAGGTCACAAGGTCATTGACCTTGATGTCATTTGAAAGAACTTTATTAGAGGAGTATGCATACCAAATATGAAGTCTCTATCTCTTACGGTTCAAAAGTTTTGGCCAAGGTTAAAGTTGACGACAGATAAACAGACAAACAGACAGGACAAAAACAATATGCACCCCAAAAAAATTCGGGCGCATAATAAAAAACTTAATGGATTTCAAACTTTACTAATAAGTATCTTAGTACATGTATTTGTAATAAATCAGTCACAAATGTAGCTGTGTGAAGTACAGAACAAGTTTTTGGCATTGTCGAACATACGTACGTAATGCGAATTGTAATTTGTTGTTTGCCATAGCGACTCACTAAGCAGCCAATCAAATGACCAACATAGATTTAATAACATACAATTTTTCAGCGAGTAAATATGTGCGAGTCATTTGATTGGTTGCTTATTGAGTTGCGATGGCAAACAACAAATTACAGATCACATGCAATGCAAAAAAACTCGTTTTGTAGTACATACAGTTAAAAAATCCACTCCCAGACTCATTATGGAGTTAGAAAGAGGTACTCCTATATACATGTAACATGTCGAGACCACTAGATTTTCTGACATCAGAATAAATTTGCATGTAAATTAGCTAATATGTTTACTTTACCTACTGCTGAATGAGCCGCAATGCATTGTGGGCTACTACAAGTACCTAGCTGTGTTGAAAATTAAAGGCAACTTGAATTGTCCCTTGGAAACTTATTTTCAATTCTTTTTTTAAATTTTTGAAAGAAATATTTAAAATGATGTATAATCTTTCATTTTTAAGCTCACATTTACAAAATTTGCTTTATGAAGCCTTATATCAACTTATAATACATCAGCCTAGTATACCATTGTTCAAAGAGACGTATAAGTGCTATCGCGTCGATAATACATTGAGTTTTTTTTCACACAGTATACGTGTACATAGCTTTCACAGGTAGTATATAGGTCCTTGTTTTTAGACAGCAGGAGAAAGTGTGCAATTATTATTTGACCCCTCAATATTATCAGAAAGTGTTTTATATATAATCAAAAGTCAAAGAGTTTGTACGATATTCGAAGCAACTGTTAATCATCTAAAACAACTCCAATATTAAATGTGAGCATGGAGCAGTGTCTTCAGAATACTGTAAAACGAGAATATTTGGCGCACTACTAATTTTAGCGCCTTTGGCGCAAGAGCCCCTGAGCGCTAAAATTTATTGTGCACTAAAGGATTTCTAAAAATCATTTTTTGTGTGTGTTCAAAGCTTTTACATAAGTACATGTAAACCGGAACGCGCGATTACGTAATGTCAAAGGTCAATGGATTATATATACACACTGGCACTGCACTTGTTCGGAAGACAGAAAGATCTGTCAAATTATAATTTAATTGAACTATTGTTACCCAAGTAGTTGTTACCCGATTATTATCATTAGTATCTTCAAAGTTTGGCTTCTCGGCGTGTCAATCATCTATCGCCTCGAGGTAAACAATGCAATCAAGCATGGCGATTGAGCTTGCAGACAATTATACCTGATTAGGATTACCGTTTTATCTAAGTTATTTTCTGTCGATGCATCCATTGTTTTAATATGATTTAAATGAGTAAATACTCCATTTTTTTTAATTGAAAATAGAAATAAAAAATAAATTTTAACACTGTTTTACGTCCATGTGATAGCAACACGTACCGCGGTAAAGTTAACGAATGTTTACTGATAAACGGGAGTACTAATGTGTTTCCGTGCTTAACTAACCAAAACGTGACTAGTCAAATACGGTGAGGATAAAAAAAAAACAAATATCACATTTTACTGACAGGTGCAAGCGCTAAAATTTATTTGCGCCAATGCATTCCCACTTGCGTTTGCGCTAAAATACGTATGCGCCAAATTTTCTCGTTTTACAGTATTATCTTTCAATTTCGGTCTAATAAAGTTTTTAAGAAGCTCTACAATTTTTCCGGTTACGAGTTAAATTTTGTGCAGTAAACCAATGAAAACCACGTGTAGCCATTGAATCATAAACACGTGGTAAACTGTTATGCTTTGGGAATCTTTCACTTGATTGGAGAACGGGCGTGACGAAGACATCGTCACGTGTTGAAAATTGCCTTCCATATAAGGTAGTAGTCTCGACCTGTGTAATATCTGACTGGTATTAATATCAGTGACATACAATAGACTTCAATTGTTCTAAATCAAACTTCACGTTTTAACAAGCGTAAAAATATTTAAAACCATAAATATCAAACTAAAAAAACATATTTTTTTAAAATTACATATTTATTTCGTTTTAAAAGTGTAATTATTCTTCGGCCACATCGTCAATAGCCCTTTGGTGATCTTGACTTCACTTATCACCTGAGGGCAAACTAGCTAAAATATCACTGTAAAGTATGCTAATTTATTGTTTAAAGTTAACCAATCAGAAAGTTTGAACTCTTCAATTTTATTTTTCAAAAAAATGTTCATTACTTAAGTTTGCTATTTATGGTATTAAATAGTTTGATGTTTGTTGTTGATTTGACTCTTGATTATAAAAAATACATAAAACAACAATTAACAACATGTATGTATCTCTAATGTCTTTATGCTATACTTTATTTCTGCAAAAAGCCAGGAGCCTGTAGTGATATTCTTTTCCACGATCGACACAAAATCACATGCATATATGTTTGTTTCTTTCTGCAAAATTTTATAAAGTTGTACTACTAGCCTACTTTTACTAATAGTAATAATGTTATCCGTGTCCTTTATTAACAGGATTTGCACTTATTTACGTTTTGTAAAGTTGTGCACAAACTAAAAAGTTTCATCTACTAAGTATATTAAATAAATAGATAATATTTTTTAATCATCCTTCAGCACTAGTAAAACGTAGCAGTAACCAGGGACCTATATACTAGTATATAGGTTAACCTGTTTTTTCCGAGCGACATTATAAACTGTGCAGTATAATCGCTGCGACGAAACACTCTGCAGTAATCATAAAATAAATGCTGTACGAATAAATAAACTCAAGGTTATAATTATTCAGATAAATTCTACACTTTTCAAACCTTATATAATGACACCAACAATAGGCAAATATCAATATTTTTGTCTCAGATGATCCGCAACTTTCTTCCTCTACATAAAAAATGGCTGACGCCTCGTGATCAGATATTGGTATACCGCGCCCGATCGAAAAAATAAAAATAAAGGCAGCTGCTCTAATGATTTTATTCCTGACGGCCACAAACTGACAAAATTAATTCTGCATTTAATAATACAGAATCACTCACTACCTGAGGATGCTTCCATATAACTATAACCAATATTTGCTTTGCTGTTCTTGAGAAGAAGATTTTTTAAAAATTTTCCCTATATACTCCTATGTAAAATTTTGATCGGCCATTGTGGCCCCACCCTACCCCCGGGGGTCATGATTTGATCAAACTTGAATTTACATTACCTGAGGATGTTTCCACACGAGTTTCATCTTTCTTGGCCCAGTGGTTCTTGAGAAGAAGATTTTTAAAAATGCCATTAATTTTTTCACTAATTCATAATTATCTCCCCTTTGAGGAGAGCGTGGCCCTTCATTTGAACAAACTTGAATCCCCTTCACCCAAGGATACTTTGTACCAAGTTTGGTTGAAATTGGCCCAGTGGTTCTTGAGAAGAAGATGAAAATGTGAAAAGTTTACGACGACAACAACGACAACGACGACGACAACGACAGACAACGGACAAATTTTGATCAGAAAAGCTCACTTGAGCCTTCGGCTCAGGTGAGCTAAAAAGACCATTGTTTGTTATATGGTTTACCATTTTTCTGTGCACCCCGATGACAAAGCCTGAGAAGAGTTCAGCGGTGGCTTTGGGGGCAGGGTTTTCTGGGGTGGGTTGGAGACTTCCCATGGTAGGGACATCACTTGGTTGGCGGGAATGTGTGGGGGTGTTGTTAGCAGAGTTATCCTCCACTGTTAACGAAGTGGACATTGAGGTGGGACCATTTTCTAATTTCTGTTGAATTTTTTCTGTAAAAACACAAGAAAAGACAAGAAATTAGCATAAACATATCAAACATTGAAACATGATTTTTTTAAAGAAGATACAATAACATTTTTATATTACATATTCATACATATTTTTTTCCTACATGGTAATAATTTATCCTATGTAAGCAGTCACAGATTTACCATCATGGAAGTTCGTTACACTTAAATTGCACTTAAGTTAAAATTAAAGACTATAATTCCTCAGAATCATGTCCCACATAAAAAAGATGTTTACAGTAATACATGTATGTATATTTTTTAGAAATCAAAATTTTGGGGACATACTTGTGGCCAATCCTCTCTGAATATCATTGAGGCCTACAGAGTTTTTGGGGACGGTTCCTTTCTCCTCCTCAATGGTCATGGGTTTGATTTCCTCGTGAGGCGGGAGCTCATAGGCATACAACACTCCTCCTATCAGAGTCTTTACCTTGTGATTATCCTGTGGTAATGCCTGTAAACAAACCCAAAAATTAAAATCAATATTTTACAAAATCAGTGACTTGTTTTTTAGGGAGTAATACAATGTCAGCCAGACAATTTGTGAAATATTGTCAAAAAGACCCCAACTGAGTGTAACACCTTGACAGTGAGGATGTACTGTATACACTCGCCTATAAGTCGGTCTGCGTATAAGTCGGTTGTATTTTTGGGGGCTATTTTGAAGGGATTTAATTGCCATTGCCCCGTCTATAAGTCGATGCAACTTTTTGCCAGAATCGGCTGAGAATATTAAATCAATGCAGTGATTTCTAAACCTGGTTTCAATTCATATTTCTTGAAATGATGCTGAGATTTTATTTTAAATCATTAAACAGATAAGTAATGCATAAACCTTTGAATGCATAAAACATATATATATATATATATCCAGACTTTGTTCTTCAACAGTCGTTGGAAATAAACATGTACCGGTATATAAAATGCTACATTTCACCGTCCAGAAAAAAGTCTCTTTATGACTTGCCTATAAGTCGGACATAGAGTTTTTGACCAAAATTTAACTCCCCAAAAACCGACTTATAGACAAATAGATATGGTAGATTTTGGATTCTCTGACTATGATCTACTTATGATCCCATATTTTTTTCTTTAGTTTATATTTTACTAATTAAAAATCATTTTTTTAAAAAGATTTTTTTTTTGAGAAACTAGAATTAAGAAAGAATCTGATTTCATACTCATATCCGACCCAATACTTTTATAAACAAGAGGCCCATGGGCCTTATAGGTCACCTGAGTATCATGCCACAACTTTCCAACAATTGAATTCGATTCATGTTTTAAACTAGAGCAAGTAGAGGCCATGAAATTCTCAATTTTGAAACAGGAACCATTGCTTATCATATTTATACACTCAGCATGTTTATTTTGGTTACTTAACCACAGAGGTAGATCAGAGTAACAAAGAGAAAATGCATTTCCACTTTTAGTGAATTTCAGGGCCCCTGGGTCAGGGCTTCTTGTGTTAGGGCGGGTCCACAGTTGAGCTCCCCATACCACAGGAACCAGTGACCCTGGGGCCACATCTTTCAAAATTTTGGACATTTTTTAAAATTTTATTTCATCTTGCTGTTGATTAACATCAAAGTGCAGATTTCAAAGCATTCAATTATGTCCCCCCCCCCCAAAAGTACCACGATCTGTCCCAGGGGCCAGGAAATTAACCATTTTTGGAAGAAGCATGTTTTTTTGTCATAAATATACACTAAGCTCATTGGCATTATACCCAACAACAAAGGAAAATATTTTCAAAGAATTCATGCATTTTCACTATATAAACATTAAAGCCCCGCCCAAACACAAGAAGCCCTAACCCAGGGACCCTACAATTCAAAAATCTCAAAGAGGCATCCTTCCTCCTTATAACTATGCACATAGTTCTTTGGTTAAATACTCAGGTGCAGTAAAGAAGAGTTTTAAAGAATTTATGCATTTTCACTATATAATCAATAATCCTAACACCAGAACCCCCAACTAAGGGGCAATGAAATTCACAATTTTGGAAGAGGCAGCCTTATTCAACATAGCTATGCACTTGGTTAGTTTATTCAATGCCTATGAACAGAGAAGAAGAATTTCAAAGAATTTTTGCATTTTCACTATATAATCTATAGGGCCCCGCCCTAACACCAGAACCCCTGACCCTGGGGCAAAAAAATTCACAATTTTGGAATAGGCACTCTTGCTCATCATAACTATGTACTTAGTTAGTTTATTTAATACCCAGAAGCAGAGAAGAAGATTTTCAAAGAATAAATGCATTTTCACTATATAACCAATAGAGTCCCGCCCTAACACCAAAACCCTTGACCCTGGGGTCATAAAATTCACAATTTTGGAAGAGGCAGTCATTTTCAACTTACCTATGCACTTGGTTAGTTTATTTAATGCCCAGGAGCAGAAAAGAAGAATTTCAAAGAAATAATGCATTTTCACTATATAACCTGTTTAGCCCCGCCCTAGCACTAGAACCCCTGACCCTGGGGCCATGAATTTCAAAATTTTGGTAGAGGACTCAATGCTGATTACAATCACACCAACAGTTTGACTGCTTGATGTCCAGGAGTAAAGAAGAAGATTTTTAAAGATTGCACTACTTTTAGTGGTTTTTGCCCCCCCCCCAGGCCCCAGGGGGGGGCAGGGACCATGAAATTCACAATTTTTGTTCCCCTTCACCCATAGATGCTATATGCCAAATTTGGTTGAAATTGGTTCAGTGGTTTCAGAGAAGAAGTTAAAAATGTTCAAATGTTAACGCACGACGAACGACGACGGACAAAAACAGATAGCAATAGGTCACCTGAGTTTACTCAGGTGACCTAAAGAGTCAAAGTTTGAATTTTCAATCTTCCTATCACAAAGGTGCATAAATGGTGATATTAATACTATATATTATTTCATTAATAATTATATTAAGCAATGTTTACATTTTCATATTTGTAAACAATTTTTTCCAGAAATAGAACTGTCAACAAGTAGGTGACCATTACAAACAGGAGTCAGAGACCATTATTATCTAAAATCCCAATGAACCTTTTTTGAATTATCAGTGTTATTATGTCACCAAATAAAAGACCGTGAGGTTCAACTTAATGAACCTGAGGTATTAACCAGCGATTAGAACCAACTTTTATCGGTCACTCTTCAAACTGTGGAACACTTTCTAATCATGACGTAATTTTCCCCGACTACCAGAAGTGGACAAGGCAGGATATTGAGCGACCAACAAGTGCTGTGTAAATTCTAAGAGTAATCATAAACGAACACTAAATCCTCCCGTTACAAACATCCTAATCGTGAGACGGCATGAAATCGGGAGTCTCTTTTTAACAAATCAGCACTAATCTCCATTTTGTTCAACAACAACAGATGGTTTTGAATGACACTCTGGAAATGGCCATTTGTTTTGGAAATTGATATGGGATGGCCATAAACAGTTTCATAATCTACAAATAGAGTGGCATTTTACTAAGGTCAAGATTGTGATAAATGTTTTATGTCTGGATATGAGTAGGTTCATTTTCCTATGAATTGATGAATACAAAATCAGCATGAGAACAACAACAATTACTTTAAAGGATATTATATTGGTAAACTTCCTATGACAAAGCATAACTGCATGTCTTTGATTGATAAGTCAGAAAACCGTAATTATCTTCATATTGCATTTTAAGCATGATTAAATGAACAGATCTTATGAAAAAAAAAAATTTTTGTGGTGTTTTAGCATAGCTTTGAATTGTAGATTTTTTTTTTAAAGAAGTGAAAATCAATGAAAGCTCTGCTTTATATTGATAAAGAACTATTCTAATTTTTTTTTCAAAAAGTATTTATACCAATTTAGGAAATTGTACCAAAAAATGTACTTCTGATCTAATTATTGCTAACAGGGGGAAAAAATAAAACTTCTCAAATCTGAATGAATTTTGCACAATACATATACATGAGTAGATATGAAACATTTTTCCAGAAATACCCAAATATATGAAAACTTACTATATGTGACCCAGCTAACTTTACAAACTATTAAGAAATTAAAAATCACTCCAATTTTGCATTGTCTGATTCAAATAAATAATATGTTAATTAAGGCTCCTCCCACTTTCCATTCATAAAACTTTGAGACAGCCCTATTTATTTCATAACTCAATCCAGAGCCATATGTTCCTGTCAATCTTTGTCTATCATCTCCTGATACTCCAATACTTTTAAGGAACCCCAAAAGTCAACAATTTTGTCAAATAGGAAGTTTATGAAGAGAATGAAATTAGCTGTTATCAAGCTACTGTGAAACTACTGACTGGAAACATAACTTATATTTTAGCAAAAAGGTATGTCAAATACTTCTCATTTTCATTTTAAAAACATTATTGCCCATGATTTAAATTTTTTTCTTTATTACTGTTCAATTTCAACTTATTCTTCTGAAACTTGACAATGCTGAAAAATCCAGTTCTAGATTTCTTTATTTAACATTTCTGAAAAGAAAATTGTATCTCAAAAGCATGCTCCACTTTGTGAAGTACATCTTTATCAAAGGGAATCTTTAATATATTTTGTCTCTTGAATATGCATTTTACTCATGGCCTTTTTCCACTTAATAATATTTTCATTTATCAGATCTAAGAATCACTTAAAAATGACAACCCGGGAAGCAGGCACAACAGAGAACATTCTTAATTCAACACTGACGACAATAATAAACACATCTACATCTGCGAATGACACCTCCACCTCATCTGTGGACATATACTATGATCCACTCCCCTGTTACTCCTTATATTGTATCTTTGAATTAAGATACAGACAAGAGTACTACACCATTCTGATGTGCATATCCATCATGCTTGGAATTCTGGGAAGTGTGGGCTTCATGGGTAACAGCCTCGTTTTGATTGTCCTGCTGAAAGCCAAGATGAAGCAGACGTCCATTTATTTCATGCTCATGTTGTGCATTCTGGATCTCATCGCCTGTGCCGTGGTCATCCCGGGAATTGTCGTCACAGAATGGCATTTCCCCTTCACCAGCGACTTCCTATGTAAGCTCTGGGAAGGAGTTCGCTTTTTCACCATTCCTACCTCAGCCATGGTTTTGGTGGCCATTGCTTTTGAGAGATGTGTTGTGATCTGCTTTGCTCCTAGACGAGTTTCAAAGAACATGACCTTTCTGATTATTTTGGTGATTTTTATATTTGGTGCATGTCTCGGGGTCCCCCCAGCACTGGGTATGGGTGTTTATTCTGGGAATGGATTCTATTTAGGGTACTGCATTACCAACTACCAGTATCTCTCCTTGGACTCCCTGACAAAATACTGGCTTGGAATAACCTCCATCTTCATCCTCATGATAATCAGCATAATCATCTTCTACTCCTCCATTTTCTTTACTGTCTTGATTCAAAACAGAAAATGGAACAAGATCCAATCTCAGCAGACACAGACAGCTACATGTAAAATGGCAGAAAATTGCAAAGACTTACGCAGAAAATCATCTACTTCAGACATCATGTTCGCAACAAGAGCAAGTGAGAAACTGCTTAAAATTCCCAAGAACCAAAAATTGTCTGAGATAACCACACCAATAGAAAATTTTGAACTCCCTTCTGGTGATTATCCAGACACCCAAATTGAGAATATTGGAGAAGAAAATGATCCATTCACAGACCCATCTGAGGAAATGTCTAAGTACGGTTCCAAAACTGTGGAAAAGACTATGAAAATACGAAATGTGAAAATATCCCCTGGCACTTTGCCTGACAATAATGCATTAATGAAATCAAATTCCATACCTTCCACTTCAAAGAGCATTGTTCCTTTCACAAATTCAACTGACACAAATTCTATTAAGCAAAAATCTTCAAGTGTTGAAAACTGGGTGAAAAAACAATCTCTGAAAATAATGCCCACTATTCCCGATGACCAAAAAGTGGACACTAAAACAAATTCCATGCCTTCAACTTCCCAAAATCTAACCAACAAAGTTCAAAGCAGAAATCCTGCTATAAAGACCTCCAGGAAAATGCACATAAAAACAACCCAAGTTCTCTTCACTGTGACAGTGGTGTATATAGTGTCTTTTTTGCCTACATTTCTCATTGCCAATAATCTGCTCCCAGAATTCAAAGGAAGCAGAGTTATTTACCTTATGTACTTCCTGAACAATACTGCTAACCCCATTATTTATTCTTTTATGAATCCTCAATTTCGCAAGGAAGTGTGGAAATTTCTCAAATGTAAATCTAGATAGCTTAATATTTAAAGGGAAAAAAATGTGATATGGATATTACATGTATTTATAATAAAGAAACCAAACCAATCTTTATCATACTTTAAATACAATATAAGAACTGGAATTACTAAGCATTAAGATTAAATACTGCTAGTACTAGGGCTGGGTATTGGCTGGAAATTTCGTATTGCAATATTTCAAAATGAACTGCAATATTTTCAATGAGAGTTAAAATGATCTTTTCTTAATTGTCTTATTAACCTCCCTCTATAAGTAATGTATATAAAACTATAATAGATACATTGTTACAATTATTTTGTTGTTTAATTCACTACTGTTATGGAAAGAAATGCAACTATACAACAACAACTTTACCATTTTGGACTGTTTGGCATGATTGAAACATTTCTAATATTCTAAATTTCATATTTTACCCAGGAAATCTGAAGCAGTTTCTTGGAATATTGATAGTGGAAAAACATATCACATTACGATAATTTTTGTTAATGAATTGCAATATACCGGAATATCGATGTGCAGCCCTAGCTAGTACATACATTTTCACATTGTGAAGATGCAAAGCTATTCATATTTTAATATTTACATTTCCAAATATGTTTCCTTAAGATTCCATGCCAGAGTATTGTACATTTTCTCATGAACTGCAACGGATAAGCATGAATATCTCAATTTTTACGTCATAATTCCGCACTTGACATCAAAACTATACTAATAGTGCAAACTGTTTTGCTTTATACATGTTCATGATAGATAAACTGGGGCACCTTATCAGAAAAATAATGTAAGACCAGTATTGAACTTTAAACAATGGCGGCTTCGCGATTTGGCTTATACTGAATTACGGATGTATATATATATGTATTTAAATAATTTGCATGGTCCCCTGAATTTCAATATATATCCAGAGTAGGCTGTATTACCCCCATAATTAGTCTTAATTGGGTGCAATTTAGTAAATTCCTACTAGCCATGAAGGTTGATGCTTCAACAAGGTTTTTATGGCTCTTAGTTAAAGTAGGTCACTGATCCAGACGTGTATATGACAATAGTCCATCAAATGCTCTCTCCTACACAAAAGTCAGTGCCGATTTACTGCTTAGATTGAAGATTCTGGCGTTCAGAATAATAAGTGATGTGCTACTCGCGATGAAGTACATGTAGTTCATAAAGGACATGTAACTGGGATTAAAATTACCCTGGCTAATGCTCAAATGATCTTAGACTCAATTATCTGAATAAACACTATTCAGAAGTCTCTGGTGAAACTAAGACTCTACTGCTTTTTGTTAAGATTATTTAGAATTGGTTTTTCATCTATGAGACATGATTTATACACCTTTATATATTCCTAAACAAAAAGTAAACAAACTGTCTGACCTTGACAATTGGTCCCATGATTTCCACAAACAGGATCTGTCCTGGAGGAATTCCTGTCAAACTACTGAGCTCCTTCTTCAGAGCTTTGTATTTTTCATCCATGTTGAGTCGAATGCCGTATTTGACAGGCACAGATCCATCCAGTCTTGTTACTATGAAAATAGAACAGTCATGTAGCACCTAATATAAGAAATCTTAATTTTCATAAATGAAACAATTTGTATCCTAAATGTGACCAAAATTAATCAAGAGATACAGTATGCAATTTTTCCTTTACTCGTGTGTAAAGTGAATATGGCATTACACCTACTGTCAAAATTTGTTTTGGAAGCTGTTTAACAGATTGTGGGGTGTAAAGTTGGCATTATGATTTACATGTTGATATGTGCATGTATATCGTATGGAAAAGTCATATTTTTAATAATTGATGGTTAAGTGAACATACTATAGCTAAAAATCTATTGTCGACTTTCAAGATATGATTGTACATAAAACAACACTTTCACCTAATAAAATTGTCAAGTTTTGGAAGAAGCATACTTTACAGAGGACTTACATAGTGCTAAAATTTCCTCTATACATTTTCAAAACTTTATATAATATGTGAATGTAAGTTGCAAAATTGAAAACAAATGCCTGAGAATTAGCAAATATGACCTACCTATAACTTCTAGATGAATACAGCTGTCCATGGGAAGGGGGAGAGAGAGGTAGTTAAATGGGTCAAAACGGACACTCATGTGTCCACATTCTTTACAGCGCACTTGGGACTTGAGTTGGCCATGGAAGAGATCAACAATTATGGACTGGTTTCTCCGTAAGTGGTTTTCCCATGCCTGAAATGCACAGAATAACATTGAAGAAACAATGTCATTTAGAATTCTTTTCTTGAACAATGGATAGCAGTTTAATACAATGTGACTTCCACATATACATGTACATTTACAATATTTTTGAGTTACTTTGCAAACTCTATATTTTGAAGGTCATTTATACATTTACAGTAAAACATGCTTACAGCGAACATGCTCATCATGAATTAATGCTTATAACGAAGTGATTTTCACTCCATGCAACTATTAAAATAATATATTGTTCACTTCACAGAAATAACGAATTATGCTAATAACAAAGCAAAAACATCCATCCCTGGAGCTTCGTTACATGTCTATTATACTGTACATGTAATTGTTATGATTCCCCTGATCAGTCCCGCCTTACCTCCTCAGCCACCACTTCATCCTGTCTGCCATCACTGTCCTTCAGTTCTACGTAAGGTTTTACATGAACCCTGTGTAAGGATATACAGACCTATTACATGTACAAACTATTCCATTAACAACAACAACAACAATCTAAAAATTGGACAACTTCAAACTACAGTCAAACTTGTTTTAAGAGGCCACCTTTAGGAAGTCTGGAAACTGGCCACTTAAGACAGGTGGCCTCTTATTCCAGTTTGTCCTCCAAAAGGACATTCGGTCAATAAATAAACAACATTAAGCACTACAGTTGAATTAAATAATCATAATTAAACGGGTCAATTTCACAAAAGCTGTTTATGTGTATATATAATAATTCAAGCTCATTTAAAAAGAATATTAAAGAATTCCAAATGTTTAGGTTTTGTGCATGTTTCTTTTCCTACATAATTAGTTAAAAATCTTGCATTCATCAGTGTGCTTTTGTTACATTAAAATATTAAATTCTTTTAATTTTCATTTGAAGAAATACATACAGTGCCTGACTATTATCCCTTTTTTATAAAGAAAAAAAATACACAAAAATACAGTTTAATGGTAAATAAATTAAAGCATAGAAATTAAGAATACGTTCACTTTCATGAGTTAAAAAATGGTCAGCAGTATAACAACACCCCCCCCCTCCAACTTAATTAATCGGTAATTAACTTACTTGCTTATGTTTTTAAAGTCTTATTAATCTTATTGTTTATAAAGCTTTATAAAAGAATTTCTATGTAACATACACAGACATACAAATGAAATTAACCACTTGACCAGAGAGATGTATTTACGCAGTTGAAAATCATTCCATAACACAGGTGTCAAATGCAGTAGAGCGTAACTAATCCCAATTGATCGTCTCTTGATAGTGAAATTCACGAGATAATCATGGCATATGAAGCACTTTGTTTTCACAAGAGTAGCAATTAGGGCTTCTACATGGAATCAAAATCTAAAAGGTGTGAATTTCTTTAGCTAGAGAAAAGTATCAATTGTAATTAAATTCTTTCAATTTTTCAATCGGCGATCTTGAAAAATAATTACAAATTGATCTAACAGGATATTTTATTCCATAAACACAAACAGAGTTCAGCGTATATCTAAAAGCAATTTGTTTAATTGCATTAATAGGTTAAATTGACTATCGAGGATATAATTACCCAAGCCAATGCGTTTAAAATATGTGATAGGATCGCAACAAGTGACGAAATGGCCGCCTATTACAGTGTCCATAAGGCTGTTGGGGGAGGATTTGAGTGGCCGCTGGCCGCGTTACACAGGTGGCCGTTTATTCCAGTTAAAATATATAGTAAAAGTCGTCAGGGGGAAGAGAAAGTGGCCGCTGACCGCGAGTGGCCGTTGATTTCGGGTGGCCGCTAAGACAAGTTTGACTGTATTTTGATAAAAATCTAAAAATTGCACATTTTTAAACATAGGTAATCAGAGATTACAGAGCTCACCTCAACGAATGTTGTCTTTAAGTAAGGCAAAGTCACACAATTAACCAACAAGAAGTGTACATTCCAAAATTAAAATATTTAAGCAATTTTAATCTGATTTTGAAATAGAACTACATAAAAAATTTAAACTAGTTATTCTTCATGAAAATGTAATTAAAATCCAGCATCTGAAGCAAATTTGAGAGTTTTCATCTCTTGATGCAACATTTGTGCAAGTTTGGTTTATACAATGTTATATAAGCCTTATAGTTTTTTGGTAATAGACCTGCACCCATTACTTTTACCTGGTCTATTATCTGAAAATGTAAGTCGAATTCAGCATCCGAAGCAAGTCCATTAGTGTGCATCCTAAGATGTATCATCCATGCAAGTTTGCTCATTATAGGGCTCATAGTTAATTGGAAATGAAACATGCATCAAAAACTAACATTTTCACTCATCAACAAAAAGTAGGTCAGATTCATCATCCGAAGCAAGCCCAGTAGTTTGCATCCTTATATGTATCATCCACGCAAGTTTGGTCATTTAAGAACTCATACTTACTTGGAAATGAATCATGCACCAAAAACTTTAACCTATTCACTCAACTGGAAAATGTAGGTCAGATACAGCATCCGAAGCAAGCCTGGTAGTATACATCCTTATATGTATAATCCATGCTAGTTTGGCCAACATAGGGCTTATAGTTACTTGGAAATGAAACCTGCACCAAAAACTTTAACTTGTTCACTGAACCGGAAAATGTAGGTCAGATTCAGCATCCGAAGCAAGCCCAGTAGTATGCATCCTTAGATATATCATCCATGCAAGTTTGGTCAACATAGGGCTTATAGTTACTTGGAAATGACACCTGCACCAAAAAACTTTAATCTGTTCACTCAACCGTAAAATGTAGGTCAGATTCAGCATCCGAAGCAAGCCTGGTAGTATGCATCCGTAGATGTATCATCCATGCAAGTTTGGTCTACATAGGGCTTATAGTTACTTGGAAATGAAACCTGCACCAAAAACTTTAACTTGTTCACTCAACCGTAAAATGTAGGTCAGATTCAGCATCCGAAGCAAGCCTGGTAGTATGCATCCTTAGATGTATCATCCATGCAAGTTTGGTCAACATAGGGCTTATAGTTACTTGGAAATGAAACCTACACCAAAAACTGCACCAAAAATGTTAACCTGCTCCAAAAACATTAACCTGGTCATTCCTTTGCTGAAATTGCAGCATCTGAAACTTTGACTGGTACAATGAAACACACTAGAATCACCTTCCATGCTTGTCTAATCAATATAGGACACAGAAGTACTTAAAAAGAAAACTGCTCCAAAAAACTTAACTTTAACCTGGGACGCCGACACCGACGCCGAGGGTATTACATAAGCTCCCCCAACTTCGTTGAGGTGAGCTAAAAACTATTCTGATATTAGCAAAGAAAGAAAATAAGAATGTTTACACATTAAAAAAAATCACTCCGAATAAAAAAATTACAATAGACATACAGTCAAACTTGTTTTAAGAGGCCACCTTTGGGAAGTCTGAAAACTGGCCACTTAAGACAGGTGGCCTCTTATTCCAGTTTGCCCTCGAAAAAGACATTCGGGCAATGAATAAACAACATTAAGCACTATAGTTAAATTAATTAATCAAATAATAAAACAAGTCAATTTAACAAAGCCTTTTTATGTGTATATATAATAATTCAAGCTCAATAAAAAAAAAAACTGTTAAAAAGAATTACGATTTTTTAAAGTTTTGTGCGTGTTTCTGTTCCTACATATTAGTTAAACAAGAAATACATACAGTGCCTGACTACAATCCTTTTTATAAAGAAAAAAATTACATAACAATACAGTTTAATGGTAAATAAAATAAAGCATAGAAATTTAAGTAAGAATATGTCAATAAAAATTTCACTTGCATATGTTCAAAAACGTGCTCAAAAATAGTCAGCAGTGTAACACACCCCCCCACCCACCCCCCCAAAAAATTAATTCATCGGCAATTAACTTATAAACTTAAGTCTAGTAAATTTTATTGTTTATAAAGCTGTCAGAATTTTTATGTAACATACACAGACACACAAATAAAATTAACCAGTTGACCAGAGATGTATTGACGCAGTTGAAAATCATTCCATAACACAGGTGTCATATGCAGTAGAGCGTGACTAATCCCTATCGATGTCTCCTGATAGTGAAATTCACGAGATAATCATGCCAAGTGAAGCACTTTGTTTTCACAAGAGTAGCAATTAGGGCTTCTACATGGAATTAAAATCTAAAAGGTGTGAATTTCTTTAGGTAGGGTAGAGGAGAGTATCAATTGTATTTAAATTCTTTTTATTTTTCAATCGGCGATCTTAAAAAATTATTACAAATTGATCAATCATATAGTAACAGTTTTTTTTCATAAACACAAAGTTCAGTGTATCTATTAGTAATTTGTTTAATTGCATTAATAGCTAGGTTAAATTGGCTATCGGGATATATTTACCCAAGCGAATGAGTTTAAAAGACATAACAGAATCGCAACAAGTGACGAAATGGCCGCCTATTACAGTGTCAATCAGGTTGTTGGGGGGAGGATTTGGGTGGCCGCTGGCCACTTTACACAGGTGGCCGTTTATTCCAGTTAAAATATATAGGAAAAATCGTCGGGGGGAACTGAGAGTGGCCGCTGAACGCGAGTGGCCGTTGATTTCGGGTGGCCGCTAAGACAAGTTTGACTGTATATATTCAGTAAAAATATAAAATAAAATAATGAATTCCATAAAGTATACATTGTCTGTTCTCACCTGTTGAGATCCTCATGGAGACCATCTAAAAGAAAGCTAAGTAATTCCTGAGAGTCGTGCTGTTGAAAGCCATTAAAACGTGGTGCATATTTACCAATGGTCCACTGCAACATAAAATTTTTGTGATGCAATACATTTGACAACAAAAATTGACATGACCAAAAGACATGATATGCATGTGTCATTCCTTACTGTGTAAGTAACATTAGTTTGAATTTGATAGGAGCAAAGGTTATGTAATCTTACTCAGAGTTTATGAGGAGACATGGTTTTGTAATATTACTTGGAGTTAAAGAGGAGCTATGGTTTTGTTAACTTACTCAGAGTTTAAGAGGAGCTATGGTTTTGTAATCTTAATTGGTGTTTAAGAGGAGCTATGGTTTTGAGGTATTATGGTTTTGTTAGCTCACTCGTAGTTAAGGGTAGCTATGGTTTGAGGAGCTACGGTTTTGTTAACTTACTCGTAGTTTAAGAGGAGCTATGGTTTTGGAGGTTCCACTCCACAGATCCTTGACTAGTTCTCCGTATCTTTGAGCAATATGTCCCTTCATCCCAAGTGGATTAGACCTGCATAGAAATCATGATCATCACATTCAAAATATGTAATTTGTGGATAATCTGAACCATCTTGGTGTTAATTTTAACAGAAAAATATAATTCAGTTGCTCACCTGTTAAGTTCAAACAGATGTAGTCCTCCAATAAAATACTGAGTTAAAGGCCAAGTGTTAGACACACACTGTACAGCAGCATTCATAAAACAAGTGTTTCCTAAATTGTTAAGACCTGTAGCTCCTTTCTGGGTGGGTACTATAAAGACAAAATAAAATTAATTATTTCATGTTATCTGCAGATCACTAGTGTAAAACTTTTTTTTATATTCTAATTCCATAAAACAAAAATGATTTTACCTATAAATTTACATGTACATGTTTACTTCATTTTTAAAAAAAAATCTACAACATTTTTATATAAAGTAACTGATGAAGAATAATATGAACCTTACCTTGTTCTTTCCGACATGTTTTATTTTTTGCCAGCTGAGACATTTCTTCAGGCCATGTCAAGTCCTTGTTTCGGACTGAAATTAATAGTTTTGTAACCTAATTACCTTTTAAAGCTCAATTTACATAAGAAAGCTCAATGTACATAAGAATTAACCTCACAGAGAAGAAAAACCAAGACTGAAGCATCATGTATCACAAATCAAGTCTTTTCAATCAAAACTTACCCTCTATCAATAGAGACTGGTTTTCTTCTACTCCACAATCCTCTACTGTCATGGATTCATCTTCTAGGAGTGTCATGCTCTGTATAATTAAAATAAATTCAGGTGATATTAAAGCTAATTTCCGCAATGTTCTGATGTAACTTCTGGCCATTAGAAAAAGGGGATGATCTAAACAGATGCTTGAATTATACACAGCTTTATTTTTAGAAGCAAACACATGGGGTACTAAGAATGAATCTGACACTTCTGCAGTAATCTTGCACAAAAAACATCTGCTTTAAATTATTGATTCTCCTGAAGCATTTTCATTTAAATAAACACTCCTTATTTTACTATGAGGAAAATCCAGTTTAGTGAATTGAAAATAAGGTACAGGGACCACTTACTGATTATAAGATTTCCTTATACTATAAACAAGAAACAAAAATTTTAACAAAGATGAATGTCACTTACATCATCTTTACTTCCGATTTTCCATAACCTGATGTCCTCCCTGACAAATCGGACTTTGGTACAGAGAAATTCATACACCTGCTGTATGGTGTGTTGCTTGCTGAAGGTTGCTGTGAAAGCAACATAGCGCCTCGGTATAGGCGGTGCACTGGAGACGTAGTTTGTCATGCCTATAGAGAGTTCCAAAAGTTATGTGTAATTCTATCCTCATATAAATTAATCAAATGAATAATCATACTTTTTCTGCAAGCAAATTAATTCCCTTAAAGCACAATACTCTAGATTCTATATTTTACGCAAGTACTTGATATAGCAAAATTGTTCTTTGGCATCAAATCAAGATTAATAATTTGTGAATGGAGGGTTGAAGAAGATTTTATATTGTTTTAGCACAAGGAAAATAAAACTATTTTTGTGAGCTGTACTTCTTGCAAAATAACACAATAATAAATTCCCCTCAAATATTTAGAAATTTACAGTTCCCCTAACTGGCTAATGAATACTTACTTAGTGCCATGCCCCCGATTCCAGACATGACCCCTGAGAATGAGGTGGGGTTGGGACGTTGAGGAACCACCTGGTGTCGTAACAGCTTCACCGTCACAGGGTACAGCTCCAGCTCCGGACTGCCATTGTTATTCTTAGAAGCAATCACCTAATTAACATAATTTGCAAATAAATTTTATATTGGGAGAAATGTACTCATTATCTTGAAGTCAGTGGGACAAAGTACAAACTTCAAGATGTATTGGACTTTAGGGTATGAAGGTTAAAACATGTAAAGAAAAAGAATTTAGGAATTCATGGTATTCCAGATATCAATGTTCAAAATACCAGAGATGAGCTGTTTTTTAGAACTTACGGTTCTGGGTAGAGCGATATTTCCTCCATACCAGGTTGACAGTGATCGCCATATGACCTCAGGCACCAACTCAAAATCCTTACCCCTCACCAGCATAGTGTCCCTCCGTAGTCTGCCTCCCTCATTGGTCAGACTTATAACCTACAACCCCGAAACATGTACATTTATTCAATAACAAAAAACACATTTGAGTATTAATTCTTCTACATCATAATTTTTCACAAGTTTTTGGAGGTAAAACAATTTATTGAACTGTCAGATTGAAAAAAAAGATAGCTTTGAATTTTTTTGGATTTTTAAAATAAAATCATTTTCTAATCACCTCTAAATACACATATTTCTATTTATAAACTCTTTCTTCTTTTGCGTGAATTATTTTCCTGATATTGATAATTTCACCCATTTTTTTCTGAAGCCAAAGTGGCAGAAATAAAATAAATCTAAGGTAATTCTCAAAACAGTACTTTACCTTTGAATTGTTTGGAGTAATAAGATTAGTGTTATCAATTGGCCCAGGTTTCACAGGTTGAGAATTGGTCTGCTGAAGTCCTTTCTTGCGGAGCTTGGGGGAGGGGCCTGGACTAACACTAGTGAGTCCATTAGAGTCTGAGGCAGAAAGACAAGTCTTGATTGGACTGCTGCATGCCGACTGGGATCTTTGTGGGATTGTGCTGGATTTGAAACCACCATTAATTGAGGTGTTGTATTCAGAGTTCTTTCCCTTTGTTATCATATTCACAATTATCACTGAGTCGTCGTCCCAGGGTAGGGCTTTGGAGGAGTGCTTGCTTTTGGTGATTTTGTGCATAGCTTCTGTTCCATTCATTCGGACCTGTTCTCCACTGTCTAGTCTGCCATTTGACATCTGGATCTGAAATCAAGAAAAATTTCTCTAACCAAAAAAGTACATATTCATGTACACTTTTGGTATAAAGTAGGGACAGCAATCGATTACAGAATGGGTAATTTCTTAATCGCAAGATGTCCCAAGCAATTGAATGGTTAATCATATAAAATACACAAAGTATTTTTTTTTCAATTAAAAAAACTCAAAACTAAGTCTTGGCTTGGTCAACTTTTAATTTTTTGTCATGTCTAATCAAATTTTCACAAGTTTTCAATCATGCAATAAGTTTTAAAATACTTATAATTCAACCAAGAAATAAATGAAATGCATAAGAAAGATGGCAAAACTTAACAGTAACATTATAAGTTTCATTTTAAGGTTTATAACATACCGGAGGTTGGACATATTCAATCCAGGAATTCCACCATGTCATGCTGATCAGGTACCACACCTGTCCTATCTCAAAACTCTTCTTAGATTCTCGCTGGAGCCACTGTCTGCAAGTGTTAAAAAATTATTAATCTGCCCTCCTGACCTAAAATATTTTCTTGTATTACTTCACCTACAATGTCCCAAGTTTTTAACAAGAGAATCCTGGTCCACAATCCTCACCCAAGTCATTTTTTTGCTCCTTACATATACAAGTAAGTTGTAGCTAAAAGAAACCTCAAGTGCGTAGCTAAGCCGAAGTATTTATTTTTTTCACTAAATTCTTGTTTTTACATATCAAGTAGATAAATATCCTTTATTGGAAAAGTTGTTAATTTTTTTTTTTTACAGTTGTGCTTAGAATCCTTCCCTGAAGACAAAATAATGAAGTCTTCAATAGAAAAGATAAAATTCTATAAAAATACTCAAGGGAGTACAAGTATGTCTCTCATGCAGTATCTCTATTTGTCCGTCAGAACCTGATGTAGGAACTGCATTAAAGTACATGTATAAAAGACATGCTTTTACAAGAAACAAGGTACGAGAATAATTGAGCTACATTTTCTCACCTCATCATCCTGAATCCCCTTAAAAAAAAGTATTATATGAAATTTGGTTCCAAATTACATTGGTTTCATTTTTTCTTACCCAGTTTCTTGAGAGGATTTTGAAATGAAACCAAACTAATTACAATATTATTTAATTATTATCATCCCTTGAAACAGGTTTTAGACAAGTTTTTGAGTGCACTTTAGTTCTTTTCACCAGGGATGATTGGTCTTATAACCAGGGAAGCACTGTATACAGTGAAAATTTCACCACCATTTTATTTTCGCCCCTTTCGCCCATACCTCGGTTGAGCGAATTTAAAACGGGGCGAATTCAAAGAATACAGTATAATTTCTTAAACAAAAGTGTGACAGGGTGAATTTTAAGATGCGGCAAAATTATTTGCAAGAGTGAAAGAATGAAACTATTAATTTAATAGTATAAATAAGTTTGTAAATGAGTAAATTCTTACTTGATTATCTCCCCTTCCTCTTCCTTTGTTTGAGGTTTGAGACCCATAACCAAATGGCATATCTTAACAAAGAAAAAATATTGTATATTATTACTTTACTCTATAAAAATCAAATTTACATTGGTATTTCTTTTATGTACATGTGTTTTTTTTTTCTTTTATTGATTAAAAACTGTCAGAAAAGTTACAATAATTTGATGTAAATATGAAATGATCAGAAAAATTGAAACCACCTGACTGAGTAAATCTAGGAAATTGTCTGCCAGTGTGTTGTTGACTGTCCATACTAAATATTCTGCCTGAGTTAAACACCCGTCCTGTTAAAAACAAGCATTTTTTGTAAATTACATAAAATCTAAACAACTGCATGAAAAGAACAGATGGAGCTACAGCCCTCCTTCCAGGAAAAGCAATGGATTTAGTTAAAACAAAAAACTATATGTATGTGAGATAAAAAATAATATTAATATAAACATTTAGTGAATTGCTGTAATATTATCAATTAAACAAATGTATTTATTACAGAAAAGTAAAATGTTTTCACCTCATAAAAAAGATCTAAATACAGAACTTTTTTTTATTCCAGGTAAGCCCTATTGATTTTTCTTTATTGCATGATGACAATTTTATGACTTTCAATTGATCAATAATGGTATTCATGTAACAGATCTTAATTAAAGTTTAAGTAGAGCTCTTTTTCCAAGCATTTGTCAATATATCAGAGATATGGATTCCAATAAATGTCCCTGAAATAAACGCCGTGAATTGTTTACCTTGTCCCCGTCGTGACTCGCCAGGATCTCTTTGGCGACAAGTTCTGGGTCCATGTTATAGAATGGATCACACTCCTATTAAATAATTCAATATCAAATGAAAATGACTCAAAATGCTTCAACTTTTCATTCAGTATACTTTCTCTCATCATCTCACAATTAATTAATATGCACATTATGATATCTTACAATCTATATTTTTGGTTTTTGAGCTAGACAACACTTGCACCTTATTTTGCTCTTTCCATCATCTTTATCTACATGTACATGTGCTTGTGTTAAAGATTTAAAGAGGTATATGATTGTGTAGTTTCTATGACAGCATAATACTCAATCTTTTTCATTTCTTTTCATTTGTTGACCTACAATATAATTGATTAGAAAGGTTACTATGGTTACCATTGTGTTTGTTGGTTGGTTCTCCTGCCGTATTCTCAGTAAAGCCTTGACCATTTGTACTAGTTCCCTCTCACATAGCTTTCCATCATGGTTAATATCGAACACTTTAAAGCAAACTAAATTGAAGCAAAAATATTACAAAATAAGATATTTTCAGTTTTTGAACAATGTTTTTAATAAATACGGGTAAAAAATGGAAGTAGTAAATATAGCTCATATTTTTCTTCCTGATGTAAACTTGCTATACTCATGTTGCATTATTCTCTTCATTTTTCCATCGAAAACATGAAATAAGGCTTTCCTTATAGTAATGCACTTTATTTTAAGAATTGAAAAATCTGAACTGTTTACATTTTTGTCTCTCAGTGCCTGGCCCTCTACAGCAAGCTGAAATTCCGCAAGCCATCTCTTTAAAGTCTATGTGGTTATCTCGGTTTTCATCAAATGCGTGGAAAAGGCCTACAAGCAAATGGTTAATTGACATCCAAATTCCATCACATAAAAGGAACAAGAATTGCATCACATAAATGTTTAATATATCTTCCTTGATTCCGTATGATATGAGTAATTCATTTATAGAAAATGCAAGGTTTTCTGACATTATGAAATATGTCAATCCCATCCTACTAAAATTTCAATTTTTATACTTAAGTTAATTATGAATTATTTGTCCTTCTTTTCAACAAAGGAAGTCTGTCATTAAAATCTGCAAATGTGAATTACTAGGTAGACATTAATTAGACCATTGACTTTTTTCCCCTCACCTTGTTAAACAAGGAAGCTAGCTCACAAATGAAACTTTAATCATCAAACTAGTACTGTGTTTTTTCTTTACTCCATTGATACAAAAGGAGATTCTAACCTTACCATCAAGTTCTAGAGATTCTAACCTTACCATCAAGTCGTAGACTCTAACATATTTAATTAAGATCAAGGACAAATGACTCCCATAGAACCATTAGAGGGGAGTGCATATACCCACGGTACGTTTACTCACTTTCACAAATAGCCTCTGGCACTGGTGGGCAGACCATGGCCTTGAATGTGTCAAGGTCAAACTTCCCACTTTTGGATTGAGACTTCAGAGCCCAGTACCTTTTCTCTAGTTCACTAATGTCTGTCTCTTCCACTGTAAACAAACCACGTATAATATCCATGTATATTTTGCATCCTTTTTTGTTTCAATTTTTTGAAATCCATTAACAATGTCCAACTGAACTTTGGCTTCTTGACCACTGATATCTTAACTACCGTCGAAATATAAATGTGAGCTAGAAGTTCCAACTTATCTTTTTTATAAGTATTTTATCTTCTATATCTCAAATCCTTAGATATCTGAGAGTTTTTTCATAATCCCTTCGAGTTTGAGATATCAAGAATTAATTGCATTTACATACTGTAATATGAATCATACAGAGGCAGGTATGAATGAGACTTCCAGTACTTACAGTGTGTGACTCCAGCCAGAGTCTGATAGAAAGTGGGTGTGTCCGTATCGTCCGAGAGACTGACGGTCATAGGTTCCATCAGCAGCCATTTTGTCATTTCCGTGGCATCAGGGTGAGCTTTCACCCACAGTCGAAAATAATCAAAGGTCACCTGATCATTCTGTTTATAGAAATGAAAATATGTTAAAATTTCTAAAAGGACATTGCAGAATATATACATGTACATAAATGTATATCATTACATGTATTGTATTTTAGATAGATATATAAATCTTACGACAAAATAAAATGGAATCAAACTAAGATTTTTGTTATATCTTAAAATAAGCTAAGCCATCAATGAAATTAAGCTGGTTTTGCACTTTATTTTATGTAATAGATTTTCAAAACTGGTGTTTAGTCTAAAACAGATTTCCCACCTCACTAAAGAGGTCCGAGAGAGCATTAGAGACCTGTCCCTCAGACTCCAGAACTAATCGGTCCATCTCCTCCTTCTGTACAAAGGAGTAACTGTCATCAGCATACATCCCAAACAGAACTAAAACAGAAAAAAAATTATATTAAACTTCTGATGAGAAAAAATATCAAGGAGTTATGCTTTTTTTGTTTTTGTTTTTGTTTGCTTGTTCTTTTTAACTCTTTGAAGTCTTAAAGCAATCAACAGATCATGTATTACTATGATGTTTGCATTTATTAATTTCAACTTTATTTTTCTCCTTTCTTTCTTGGTCATATGTATGAATCATATGTAAGTATATTATAATTTATCTGCTTTCATTTCTAAATCTCACATTTGATTTTCTCCTCCACTGAGCCTTTGGTGAGGATAACCAGCCCACACAATAAGTCCTTCAGGGACAGCCCTTTAGAGGTTCCTCCAAACCCTCGGTATAAAAGCTAAAACAGAGAGGGGAAATGAACATTAAGTAATAATCTTTTTTTAAGGAAATACTTTTCATTAAAGGAAATAAGATTTTAAATTTTTTTTTGAAAATAATATAGTAAAGGGAAGAAAAAAACATAATTATGCTTAATCAATCTATGTAACCAATAAAGTAAGGTTTCTATAAACTGCTTTATCTCAACAACAGTGGTTTTACAATCTGCACAAAAGGTCAAAATTTTGATATTCTATACTGCACAGTAAAAGTAACCCAATTTGTCAAAATATAGCTAGTTAGTACTTGAAAAGAAAAGTCAGGTAATGTAACAGGGAAAAAAAAAAGGATTTTGCCATTGGTGAAATCAGAGCCATATGAAGTTTACGTACTAAACAGATTCCTAGCATTTAACCCTGTAGGTACATTCAGCTTTCCTTCAAGATATTTTGTCTTTATTTGTCTTTAAAATTTCATATTTGGGCATATTTGACATAGTTTGTCTCATATAGAACTTACATTAGCGATCCCCGGGGGAACTCCTTCCCCCAAGACTTCTCGACAGAAAACGACGTCCGACATTTGACCCCCAAGAGTGGCCACTCTTTTGAAGGCATCTTTGGAACGTTTTAGTTCTGTCTCTTTCACTGTTGGTAAAAAAAGAAAAAAACATATAAACGCAATGTTCAAAATATGAAAAAATAATGTCTAATCAATATTCTTCTCTTGTTTGCCTTATTGGAATCCAATAGGACTCTATGGATTGTGACGCTGCATATTGCATAATCTCTAGAATTTACAAAGTTAACAAAAGTAATGTTTATTGACAAAAGAACAAACAACTTAGTTCAACCCAAAAATGAAAGATTGATTAGAAATCTCATTAATTTTAATATTATAATAAAATTGTGAAAATTACCTCCGTAATAAAAAAAAAAGAAGCATTACACATTTTATCCAGCTTTACAGATATTTGAAAGTATCTAATATCAAGTTTTACTTAATTAATCTTATTTCAAATTTGTCTTCCTTGATAATATATGCCCCCCCCCCCCCCCCAAAAAAAAATGTGAAAAAAAAGCGTATGCCAGTGGGTGTCATTGTTTGTATTTGTATAATTCTTTTTGAAAAAAAAATTCACATTTCTGTTTTATGACATGAGTAACTATAAATAGCAAGGAAAATAAACATGATAAATCACCTATCACAATCACATGAATTGTGTTCATCATGATAAAATACATCTCAATAACTATTTATTATTTTATCAAAAAACATCAATTCAAGATATCTTATGATCAATGACATGCCTGTAAATAATTTGGCCAGTGCAAGATTTTTTTAAGTTTATAGCATTTTTTATAGCCTCAATTTTTACAATTTTTTCTTTTATTGAGTTTTATTGATGGTGTAATTGTATTTTGTACTTTATAAATTCATATATTAAAAATATTACAAATTTTTCCTAAAAATAAATCTTTTTTTTTTTTTAAATGTTTTCAATTAGCACTCATTGTGTGCTACATTTTATAAGAAATCTGCTGCACATTTGACTCTAAAGATCAAAACAAAGAGATAAAAAAAACTGCTGACATTGGTAAAGTAATAAAGAATATAAAAAATATTGAAAAGGACAGAGAGACAAAAATACACAATTATCTGGTAAGACTTATGGATAACCTCCCTATTACTGATGGAGCCTGGAGTACATTATTGATTTTCTTCCCCTGTGCAAAGCACAATTATCTGTAATTATTGGTAAATTTTCCTACACTAATTAAACAAATACCTAACCATTACATGGCTAAGTAATGCCATTCTTTGTATGAATTACAGGAATGAGACAACCAATCAACATTTTTTAATGTAGATTTGTCCCAGGGGAATATTAATACATAATTAACTCTATCAATCTTATTCTCATGTCTTTTTTTCAATGAACTCGATTACCATTCATTTAATATCAGTTGGTGTAGTTAATATACTATAATGCGGGATACCAGTAGAAATGTGGAAAACTTTCAAATAGCAAAACAAATAAAACTGAAATTTGATATCTGAAATCATTTTATGATGAAATTTTGTCCTTCACATACCAAAAAATATCAGATCCTATTTGTATGATAAGCACTGAAAAGATTATAACCAGGCAATAGGCACATGGACTATGATGGAAGAATAAAAACTAATGTATGAAAACTGTTGGTCTGTGCCCCCCCCCCTTTCTTCTTGCATTCTATGAATGAATGAATGCATGTATAAGTCAAATGAATGCATGTACAAGTCAGAAATCAATAACTTAAACCAAAAGATGGGAGCAAATTCTTCCTGACGATCGTCAACACTGCATACCAAATCCAAATGGTAGTCAGGTACATTTGAAAATTTTAATAGTTGTCTATAACTTCAGAAAAAAGTAAATTCTGCTTTCACTGTGTATTCACAAGTGTACTTTTAAAGTTTCATAGTCTTACTCTTAGCATATACTCATGCTGTTAGAGTACAGCTGCAAAAGCAGGTAACTAAATGAGCCAAACTTATTGATTTTAAAGACAGTGAGTGATGTCATTCTTTAACATTAACACCTGTATCTCACAGGTACTGCTTATAAGGTGCCAGGATATTGAGTTTTTTTTTTCTTTCAGCATTCTACAAGGTTTGGCTCTTTTGATAATGGCTGCATGGTGCCATATTTTAACTGGTACTTGACAAATAATCTTTAATTAATTATTATGCAAAAAAAAAGGTTTCTGGAAGAAACATACCTTTTTCTGCCAACCCCACCCCATTAAAAAACAGTTATTATAAATATATATGAAGATTAAGTATATTATATGAAAACAGATAATATTAAAAGTATTGATTTTTCTTGTTGTTTGGCAAGATTTTACTCAAAGTCATATGCAGCAGAAAAAAATGAGCACATGAACTTGCAGTATTACATAACCTTCATGTATGTATTTTTATTGGGGGGAGGGGGGATTTTCCCCCTCTGGCCTAACATTCTGGCAACTGTAACCCCCCCCCCCACCTGTTCATATAGTAGGAGTAGACTACTGTTAAACTTTCCTGTCTTGAACATCAATAAATCTCAATTTATTACCACTTCTTAAATTTGGTATTTAAACCTCAATATCTCTAATCCTCAGTTATCTGGACTTTTTTCTCAGCCCCATTGCCTTTGCTATAATGAAGTTTGACTATATTTCATAAGAAAAGTAAATATTAAAAAAAATAAAAACAAAAAATTTCCAAACTTCACTATAAAATGTATATGTCTAAACAACAAGAGAAAAGTTGTTTCAACAATATTTCTATACATCATATATTTTCACAATTGTTTCCTATTCTTTTTGTTTTACTGTCATAGACCATTTCACGATAACTTTTGAAGGGCAAAATAATATACTTTGGTGAAACATGACGTAAAAGCAATTGTTAAATATACGTCATTTAATTATGTATTAACAAAAACTTCGCCAAATGTTATTAATTTGCCCTGCAAAAGAGTAGTACCACAGTTATCATGAAGGACTAATTGGTTAATGAATCATGTTTATATTTATTCACATTGTTTTGAATACACATCTAACACGTATAATAATTAAGCATGATAAGAGCTTCTTCTGTAGGCCTAGTCAAATACTCATGACTGTATTGTAATTCTGTAAACACATATATTATCATTTACTAAATTATTCAGTCATCCACATCTTCTAAACTTAAATTTATTACACATAAAACAAAATCAATAACAAAAGGAATGAACGAACATTTCGAAATATTGGGGATAGGTTCATAGAGAAAATGCTATGTGACATAATAATAACATGGTTCACTTTACTTACTCCTTCTGCATGCCTCCTCGAAAGGAAAGTACTGAAGCTTAGATTCCTTTCCTCCCATTTTGATTTATAAGTTAATTATATACACAACACGTATCATAACTATGCATCATTATTTATAAATTTTTACGAAGTTCCTGAATCTGTCGTCCATCTTACATCACGCGACGATAATGACATCTCGCGAGATTTATGCTAGTCAGACTGTAACAGAATCTCTTCACGTTTCGTCGTTTTAAAATCGTTATGTATTATTTGTTAAATGCGTGTTTATGATTTTTATCAGTCATAAAGCATACCTAGTTATCATTTATGTGTTAGCAGACAAAAGGATGTTCTATTAAAGTTGTCCTAGAGATTCAAGTTCAATGTAAACAACACTTCTTGACCTACATTTGCAATTTGTATGGAAGCTCAATAATGTCAAAAATATGGCTTAGCCTATATGAAGAAATAATATTTTAAAATAAACACAAAATTGAAAAAAAAGATAAATTAGCGGCAATATCTGATTACACACTTTTGTTTTTACACTACATGCACTAGCTCACAATGTTTGAATTACAAAACGAATTGAAAGGAATCAATAACAACCATTTTGTGAGTTCTGTGGTCAATATGTACAATGGCCTTTAATTATATCAAACACAATCTATCATATAGTCAAATGCTGACAGACTTTTTTTCATATAATTGTTAAGCCATTATTTACACACCCACTGTCAAAAATGATTTCATGAACATGAAAAGGAACTATCAGCAGGTGTGACCCGTCAACAGGGGATGCTCACTCCTCCATAGCACCTGATCCCACAAAAAATATATCAATGTTTTGACATTGAATCACTTGAAAAATCAACTACATTACAAGATTTTCCAATTGATCTTTAAATATGCAAAATGCTGTTGAACACAACAAAATGTCAGAATTTTGAAGCTTCATTTCAAATTTGTCATTGAAAAGTGAAAATTTTATCGACATGTCACATGAAATTTTAACATTTTTTTTATTTATCGGGTTCGTGTGCAACAGGAAAGGAAAATATTTTCATACGCTTTGATTTGCTAAAAAATAACTTAAAAATTGGCCAGATCAGGCATTTGGTACAAAATAGTACATTTTTAAACACGTTTTTCTAAAATTTTTCTATCTCTGGGTCTTCTCTCCATGATTTTGAAACGTTATCTTTGTGTATTTTAATTCAAAGAAACGAATAATTTTAAAGGAGAGAAAGCATAAAAGTAAAAACTTTTCCCCAAAAAATCCAAATGTGTGAATGTGGTGCTTCTTTGTGCTTTTAAAATCATCAGTGTATGTGTAGCGGTGATAGCTCAGTAAGTTGGGCTACCTGTGCAGTGCCTTGGAATCGAAAAGTTTTTGGTTCGAGCCTGGCATGGGGCGTTAATTTTTTTTTCATGCAAACAACCATTTATTTTGTCAGTTTTGTTTTACATACTGATGTATTAAAATTTTGAATAAGATTAATTTTGGTTCAGTTTGGTTCTCGAGCGAAATCAATTCTAATCTTCTATTCTATAATGTACACGTATCATGCATCTATATGCATTAAATATTTTAGGTGTTTATTTTTTGCGAAACATTACTATATTACCTGCAGAAAATGGGAACAAAAATGTTACAATCTCACATTTTCAAACTTATTTTAAAAAAACCTATGGACGTGTTTGTAAACTCTGACAAGCTATGTTCAGCCAACCAAATCATGGACATTTAAACCATAGATGTTTATGACAAATGATTTAAAGTGCATAAAGTAGTCACCAAAATGATTGATTGGATATATCATAAATCACCGTTGTCCAACAATTTCATACGTTGGCAAATTTAAACCAGTTTGGACAATAATGTTAAGGATAAAAACTTTTTGAGGTTTTTCATTTGATCCTGGTCACTGCACCAAAATAACTTTTACAGCATACGAAGCATAAAAGTAAAAATATGAGACCCAATGTTACAGCTATTAATGTGCAACCATCAGAGTCCCTCACTTCACATCTGACCAGAATTCAGTTACACTCTCCAGTAATTCTAGAGTCAAGTGCATCCATTGATTCATTTAATACCTCACAATGAAGATTGAGGGGCCAGTTGTTTACTCTTCCCTTGGCATCAGATCCCACCTATAGTGTTAAAAAGGGTCTACTTTTGCCCATTCATATTTTATATTGCTTACAATTACTCGATTGATCACTGTATTTTTGCCCATTCATATTTTATATTGTTTACAATTACGCGATTGATCACTATAATGTATTCACCTTTTCCATTCCAGGTATGGAAATATAACAAATATTTGATTTCTTTCAATTTCTTTTTAACTTTACACACATCAATCAAGAAAAAAATTTGTTTTCAGAATCCAGAGACAGGATATCTCGTAGTTAACCTTTATTCTTGCTTGCTTTAAACTTTTCACCCATCTCCACCTATCCCCCAAAATTGCAAACACCGAACAGTTACTATACTTTCGCTCATCTCAGAAATTATGTCAAATACCAAGTCATGTTTCAGATATCCATGTTCAACTGTACAATACATATGGTTTCATCAAATGCTTCAAGTAATTTAGCATAAAGCATGTATTTTTACACTCGGATTGAACACAAGACATCTTGTATTACACAGGAGTCAATAATTCACAAAATGAAAAATTTCATTTAACATTTATTAAAATAGTATTCAATTCATTTGTACATGGATGACATACAAAACTGTACAGAACATTTTCAAAGAATAACAGACTTCAACCAACTGTACAAGTATAAAAGCACTATATAATTGTAACTAAAGGTACTTTTCACACAAGTAACCATTACTATATTTACATATGAAAAGATGGTGATCTCTAATGAATGTTTAAGAATATGCAAATGCAACAATGAAATCTGAATTTTTTTTTTCTTTCTAAAATCACTTAAAACTTTAACCTTAATTGATAGTAGATATCAATTTGCTTATACATGTATACATTTATGTATAATTCATTGCAAATCTAAACTGATGGAAATACATGTATTTAATTCAATGTACTGTACAGGGGGAAAATAACTCGCGGTGTTAATATTCGCTATATTCACGGTGTTAATAAATCCGTGAATTCAAGAAACAGTGAATAAATTTTCAGTAATCTTCAGGTTTAATTTGGAAATTTGAGAACAGACAACGATAGGGCTACATACATGTACGCGAAGTACATGGTCATTTTGACCGGTAATTACGAGTAATACTCGTCATTCAATTAATTTAATTATCACGCTTAACATAAATTCAGATCAGCAGATAATAACCCGTATTTGCTAAACAAGCTGTTTTAATAGCCAACGCTCCTACATGTTTAAATTTCATCAATCAAAACACGTGGGTCATGGGTTTTGATTATCCGTGCGTAACTAATGTTACCACGTGTATTTGTTACTGCATTATCATGCATGCATATGAGTTTTCATCGACATATTTTTTTTTTTAAAAAATCATTCAAATAACTATAGAACTTACTGAAGATGTGGAAGGATATTTCGTCGACCTTTTCCAACAGTAACACATTTATTACCGTCCAGTGCTTTTTCGTTGAGTTGTATCGAAGATCTTAGGGTGTACATGCACTCATTATAATAGCATATAGGAAAGACATTTGATGTTAAGAGTCAAGGACTTTTGATAACTGCACTTGTTTTAATTAAGGCCAGGTAAAATTAATCTTTAGATTCTCATCCTAATTTGCTAAAAAATTGGGGCGGGTGGGCGGATTTTATTTTTTATTTTTTATAATTGTTAATTTATATATAGGCCTAAGTATCAACAAAACAATGGACGCCCCGTACACATTTTTTTTCATTACCTTAATGCAAATATGAATAGATTTAATTCTTTTCATATTCTTTTAAATATTTAAAGAAAATTTTTGCTTTAAAAATTAAATATTTATTGTTAATTAACAAATTATCAAGTACACATTATACGGCACACCCTGAACAAAATGAGGTAGGGATACCAATAAATTATTATTTTGCAAAATCTATATAAATGTTCTAATAATTATTCAACTGAAAAATCTAGGCCTTCTCTTAAGTCTGTCTACGATGTTGTAGATTTTTTTTTATTTCAAAGCAAAGTCACACAGCTGGAGATCGTTATATGTAACTAGACCAGGTGTCATTTTAGTCGTCTATTTTTACTTAGTTACAATCTCTCTACATACTTGCTCCTGCCAGTGATGGTATCTATATGTGTTTATGCTATTTTTTCTTCTCTGCCTTCTCTATTGACAAATATATTACACATTTAAACTGCTTTTATTGCCGATTTTTCTCCATTCTTCACATGGCGTTTTTGCTATAAATAGCGACACGCGACTTTTAATACAGACGGGAGATAACTCTTAAACTTTGAACCAAATTCTTACTGAATAATACATGAAAATACCCCAAAATCAAAATAAAAAACATCGGGGCGGGACATTTTGAGAGGGGCGGGCGGGGATGAGAATCTAAAGATTAATTTTATATGGCCTAATCGTCAATTTTTTTTTTTATATCAAATCTAATTATTTTATTTAAACCTACCCCGTTGTTCGTGAAATAAAGTCATAACACTGATTATCAATATCGTTTACATGTAGCTATGGTATAGATAAACGGATATAGACAAGGGAGGTAACTTTTATTATGTACCATTCCGCGAAAAAGAATCGTTATTGAAAAAAAAATGCTATCAGAAAAAGAAGTTATTTAAAAAATGCAAACTTGTAACAACACTTTCAATTTGTTGATTTCATATTCATTATGAAATCAAACAAGCATGTTCCCACATTACAATAAATAAATATTAAGGCTTGTTTCTTTCATTTTTTAAAACACACTAAGAATTAATTAAAACCAAAAGCAGGATAAATGCTTTCAAAAATAAATTTTCAAAACTGCAACAATTTTGAACATGAACAAAACAAAAACTTAATGAAATACATGCAAAGTCTTTCAATGTACAATTTTCCCAATGTTTTGCTTGCTCAAAATTTATACAATTCTTTAACAGATGGTGTAATTTGGCAGTGAAGTTTAATTAATTCTTACATTCAATAGATGCTTTACTAAAATGGCATAAGAAACACAATTAGCTGCCCAAGTCAAGTGCACACATAATATAATGAGTACATTTCATTCTCCCTTGCAAAGCAATAATTCATCTCTCACACAATTACCTCCCCTTGCATAAAGCATACACACACACAT